CCCCAAAACCCCAAAACCCCAAAACCCCACAAATGTTCCCTGAAATTGTTTTGTTTAAAATATTTAATTTACAAATGGAGGCTTGTTCCAATAAAGTTTACATCAAAAATGACCAGAAACTCATATGCAACAAGACTCTTGGCTTTGATGACTGGGAAGTCAACTCAGAGGAACTCAATGGCTCCTTTGACTCTGATGACTTCAAACAGGTAGTAGGGTCTGAGCAGAAAACAACCTGTTTATTTACTTGTGTTCAAAAGTTGTTTATGAGTCTTAATTACGTATACACTTCTGTTCTCAACAAATTCAAACAGCAAAACAAGGAGCAGGACTACATGCACAAGTATCAGATTGACACTAATATCATGAAAGTCTACATGAGCACACTTGAGACTGAAGATTGCACTAATGGGAACCCTGTGTTCTGTACCAACTGAAGTGCAATTTTGAATGCATACACCAACATTGAACAAACTGAAAGAATATAAAAAGATGATAGCAAAATCTGAATATGTGAATTCTCCAACTTCAGCAATAAAGTAAATCTGAATGAAGACAAATTTTTTGACAAAGACAGGGATAAGAGCAATTTAAACCACATAATTGAGATGTCTGAGAATGTCATATATGAACATAAGAAAGCTGAAGAAGTCAAGGATCTGACCCAAGGTATTATCAGAGACTCTTCTGAAACACCTCTGATATTCTGCATCGACATTAGCAGTTCAATGCAATGCTCTGAATTATTATAAATGGCAAATGGTTTACATACCTTACAAGATACGACTGCATTGCTAAAGGCATCTGCGACCAGATCGAAGCTTGCAAAGAAACTAAGAGCAAAGTCAGAGGGGTCTAATTTGATAGGTATGTTACTGTGCATGGAGATACCACTGAGAAACCTCATGTAATCGGTAAGATACCATTACTTATTTTATTGATATTCTCTTTGTAAAGCTCAAGGGCTTAATTTCTCATGATTGGTTAGATGGAGCTAACATGTATAGATTCAGAAGAGAATCTCAATGACGAAGAGTATTTGTACACAAACGCTGAAGTGCTTGCTCAAAAATTCACATGTCCCATCCAATCAGTCATACACATAAAAGTATAATTGATTTAGTAAAGAACAAAGAGCCCAATGGCTCTACTACTTTGGGACTAGGTGCTCTAACAGCCATCACAATGGCTGGTGCTGTAGGCAAAGGAGCTACTGTCGTAATCCGAACAGACGGTGAGGCCAACACAGGAGTGGGCTCTCAAGACAGTTATAAAGATGTCTCTGATTGAGAACAAAGAGTTTTAAACTTTTATAAAGATCTTGCTGACAACGCCAATAAGCATGGAGTCACAGTCAATCTCATGAGTCTCAAAGAATGTTATTGTAACCTTGACAACTTGATTGTTCTCAGCGAAGAAACTGGAGGCCAAGTCAACATCATCGATCCTCAAGATGCAAGTAATGTGTTCGAGACAATGCTGCAGGTCAAGCCTATAGCCATTAACGTCACTGTAAAGGTGAGACTGCATCAAGCGCTAGAGTTCAAGAATGAGCTAGGCAAGAATCTGAGTGCTGACAGAACCCTGATGAAGAAGAAACTTGGGAGTGTGAACTCTCAGACTGAAGTGACCTTTGGCTACAAGCTCAAAGACCCTGATAAACTTGCTCTCATCGAAGGCTTCAACATTGAAGAATTCAGCAAGATTCCATTCCAGACCCAGATCGAATACTGTAGACTCGACGATACCAAGTGTCTCAAAGTAATCTCAAGAGTGTTTGAGACTTCTTCAGATGCTGAGGAGATCAAGCAAGATGCGAACCTCGGCATTGTAGCTGTAAGCACTGCTCAGCAAGCATCAAACCTTGTAAAATAGGGAAGTTTCCGAGAGGCTCAAGTACTTTCATATAACAACAAGAAGTTCATCAAAAGGATGACCAAGAGTGAAGACGACGCCACTGTCTACAAGGCCTTTAAGTCTAGTCTGAGTAAAATGTATAGAGATGCAGCTGTGTATCGAAGCCAACAATTAACCCCTAACCTTTACTTAAGAGGGTCAGGAGAGTCAAGGATATCTCCATTCATTGATAAAAAGAGTGATGACCTCACAGTGAGTCGTCACCATATGAGTTCTCTTTCAACTCAAAAGCTGATAAAGATGTATCCCAATTAAAATTCAATCGAGTCTTGTAACTAGGGGTTTTGGGGTTTTGGGGTTTTGGGGTTTTGGGG